ATAGTTTCCTACCGGCAACTTAATAACAGTTCCAGTTATTCCATATCATTGGCAACATTTGATGTTGTCTTTATCTTAGCCATTCTTTCAGGTATTTATAAGTGTCTTATGATTTTAATGTACATTTTCCTGATAACTAAGAAAAAATTTGAGCACATATTTATGTGCACATTGTCTATTCATCTATCTTTTGAAAAGTGCCGGTTCCAAGTTTTTTTCTCTGATTATTAATTGTCTTCTTATCATCAGTTTATAGGATTTTTTTTGTATATTCTGGATATGTCCTTTTTGGATATACATCTGGCCAGTATTTTTTCCCCAGTTTGTGCCTTGTCTATTTTCTTAATGGTATCATTGATGAAGAGAAAGTTTTAAAATTTGATGTTTAGTTTATCAATTTCGTGTCATTATAGTTTGTGCTTTTTGTTCTGTCAAAGCAGTCTATGCCCACCCTAAGGGGCAAAAACATTCTCTGCTTTTCCTTCTAGAAGCTTTATGGTTCTGAGTTTTACATTTATGTCTATGATTTATCTTAAATTAATTCTTATACTGTCATGCACTGCTTAATAACAGGAATATGTTCTGAGAAATGCATTGTTAGATGATTTTATTGTTGTATGAATGTCACAGAGTGTACTAACACAGACCTAAATGGTACAGCCTACTGCACACCTCGGCTGTATGGCATACCACCACTGTACAATGCAGTCCATTGTTGACCAGAACTATATGTGCACTGAGATAGGAATTGAGGTCAAATTTTTTTCCACATGGACATCCAGTTATTTCAACGCCATTTGTTATAGACTATCCTTTCCATATTGAATTGCCTTGATACCTTTTTTGAAAGTGCACTGACTGTATATGGATGATCTATTTCTAGACTATTTAGTTCCAGTGATCTATTTGTATAATTTTATACCAGTAATACAGTCTGCATTACCATAGCTTTAATAAGTATTGAAATAGGTAATAGTTCTTTAACTTTGTTCTTTTTCAAGATTCTTTTACCTGTTCTAGATTTATATAAATATTATAATTTTGTCTGCTTCAAAGTAGTTGACTGGAATTTTGCTATGGATAGCATTATACTTATGTATCAGTTTAGGGAAAACTGACATGATCTTCCTATCCATGAACATATTTCTTTCCATTTGTTTAAGTCTTCTTTGGTTTCTCTTAGTGGTGTTTTGTAGTTTTCAGTGTAAAAGTCTTATACATCATCTATTTAGTTTATTTCAAAATATTTCCATTTTTTTCCCTCGATGCTATCGTCACTGGTAATTTCTTAAACTTTCATTTTCCAGTTGTTTGTTGCAAGATTTGCTGATTTCTTCATTTTGAGTACTTTGCTTCCAGGTAACTAAGTTCTTCAGTTCTAGCAAAATGCATTATAATTTAGTACTGAAAGCAAATAGAAGTCAGTTAAAATGAACTTTGCAGCATTGATTTTAGTACATACTTATTCCGTTAAGAGTATCAGTATTTACTGTTTGAATGGTGTTTTTCTCAGAACTCTCTGTTATTTGTATGATTTTGCCAGCATTTTTCTAATATAGGGAAGTCTATGCTATCTTTTTATGGCTGTTCCTGGAACATAGGATGCTTGAGATTTCATGTCTTTTCATTTGATCAGTGAATGAATGAAGTAGTAATAGCTTTGGGCTCTCAATAGTGAGAAGGTTTGGCTAATGAGGATCAAAGAAAAAGGCAAAGAATAAGCCTTGACAACAATAGGAAAATGATTTTGGTTTCTTAGAATAATAGTGAATGCTTGAGCCTGCCTCGCAAGGGACGGCTCAGATATAGAAATAGAAGGAAAGAAATTAACATTCACTTTGACACTAGCAAATCTCGAAACCTAGAATTAGGGACTTGTTTTCACATGGGCAATAAAGAATCATTGCAGATTTTGAAGTTAATAATGTACTTAATACTGTTTCATTAGTGGGCCTTGTAATTGAAACATCATAAAAAGTTTTAGTTGTCTGTTGTATTCCAGTTTTAAATGATAAGGCTTCTTTAGGTATTATTACCACAAACTTAGTGGCTTGAAACAACAGAAATTTATTCTTTTACAATTCTAAATGCTAGAAGTCCAAAATCAGTTTAACTAGGCTGAAATCAAGGTGTTGGCTGGGCCACACACTTCTCTAGAGGTTCTAGGGGGAGATCCCATTCCTTGTCTCTTCTAGCTTCTGGTGGCCACCAGCATTTCTTGGCTTGTGGCCTGATCGCTCTAATCTTTAAGGCCAGTATTTAAGATGTGTCTCTCTTTCTCTGCATGGTCTTAGCGTCACCTTCTCTGTGTGCCAAATTTCTCTCTGAGTCTTATAAGTATACTTTATATTTCTCACCTGGATAATTTTTCTATTTCAAGATTTTTAACCTAATCATATCAGCAAAGACCTTTTTTCCAAATAAGGTAGCATTTACAGATACTAGAAATTAGAACCTGATATCTCTGGGGGCCATTATCAGCCTATCACAGACTGTATTATTTTTTTAGAACTTCATTTTGTTCAGGAACTTGCCATCAAAACAAATTGGACTAAGGATTTTAGTGCCCCAAAGACATACTTATTTTTTTGCTACAATTACCATTTTTAAATTGTACCCTATATCATAGAATAAAATGTATTGCATTCTAGTAGTACAACAGAATAGACCTAACAGCCTCACATGTTGAGTTACTTAATTAAAACAGTAGTCAAGGAAATACCAAATTAGTGAAAGAGATTGAATTGTGCTTCGACTCTCATAGAAATGATATATGACTCAATAAAATTTAATGATAGCTTTTAGGTTGGGGCAGCCAGGAACTAATTCTTGGTTTTGTAGAACTTTCTTGGTCAAATTGGTACATGATCAAGCCCAATCTGTTCTGTTCATTGTACCAAGTAGACCTTCTATAGTGGCGTATTAGTAATTATCTGACTTTTTAGTCTGCACTCTTTCTATATAGCTGTTAGTTTAGAATGATTTCTCTGGGCCCTTACTCAATGCTTGTTACATCGAGATTGAGTTTTCATGTGCAAGTGTATCTTCAATGTATACTGGTGGAATATTTGAGCATGCTTATATAATAACATTGAATCAAAGCAAGCTTGTTACACAAATCATCTTCACATAGTGTTAGTGGAAAGGGTCAGCTAGAAATCTTTAATGTAACCAACTCTATTCAGGCTTTGGCGTCTTGCTTAAACATCCCAGCTTTAGGGACTGCCTAACCCTCAGCATGGGAATAACCTTTATAAGCATCATTTGATAAATCGTGGCTGAGAAAAGATTAAATAATAAAGCCTTAGTTTCCTTTTCTTCAACCATTATATTAATTAGCTTAAAATATTTAAATATTGATAACTGATAGATTTGGCATAGAAAGAGAAATAATTTGCCAAAGGGAAAATGGAAGTCTGATTCTCTGTTTGCCCTATAATCTTTTTCTCAGCATGCATGATATTCATTAGTTCTGTGCAACCAAATATCACAATTGCTTTTGCTCTGCTAGTGAGGATCAGCAGCAGTGTGAAGTTCAGCATGAAAACAAATTCACCATCAAAGCCAATAGTCAACATTATGATTAAAAACTTACATACTTTCTAAATTCTAGATTGAGAATTGAAATCATTTGATTTCATGTTACTTGCCACAACTCACAGAGTGATTTTGGCCTTGGCAACTTGGATAATAAATGACATGATACTTGTAAGTTTTTTGTGCTTTTTCAATGTCTGCAAAGCAGTCGAAAGAATTTAAATGATTGTGTCATTAATTGATGAGTACGTGAACTAACCACATCAGTGTCATGAAATGTATGTTAATTTGCCTGTTTTATTATAAAAACTTATAGAGTAAGAACTAAATGGAAAAAACTATTCTACTAGTTCAAAAGAAATTTCTAAGATAACTTTTAAAATTAAAATTTGTTCTGTAATATATTTGATAAAACATTGAGTAATTGCTCATTCAAAATTCTTGATGAATACTATCAAGTGGTTCCTTATTTACTTGAGAGTGAAGAATTACACATCTGAATATCTGCTAACATTACCCCAGATTATTTAAGTGAAATGTCTCTAAATTTAGATAACCTCACTTGTTTCTTGAGAGACTGCTGAAAAGCAATGGCATACTGATTCTTTCAAAAGAACCGATAGATGAAAAGAGAAAGGAAAACAAAAGAAAACCGAAGAAAAAGAAGAAGGGGATAATATAAGCGAGGTATCCAATAAGGCACGTTCACATTGTCACTTGAGAATTGATGAATTGGCATAAAACTTTCTGGTTTCGACCAAATAGTATGAGGAAATTACTGCATATTGGAAACATTCTTAACAATTTCTTAGACTTAGAAAGCACATGTAGGAAAATTTACTAATGAATTAATTCATATTCTAATGTTTCATTGAGTTCTTTAAAGTTTTTTTTACAAATTTGCCCTAGAATAACCATTTTTCAATAACAATTTTTATCTGTGGATTTATAACTTTAAAATCTTCAGGGCTGAGCCAGAAGACGAAAGGTGTTTCATTTTAAAGTATGATTGCGTAATTTAATTTTATAAGAAAAAACTAGTAGTCCATTCGTGACATCTACATTTGAGCGCATTGTATAAGGAAAGCTTTATTCTCGGAATAGTTTGTGTTCTTCCTTTGTCATGTCCCACTCGTCTGCATGTACCTATTTCTGTTTGTGTTAGTCATCCTCTCTAGGTAAATTGTCCATGAGACCAGTGATTCCATCAGCAAATTATCCAGAAAATGCTGTCTTTGCACGTTGTGACAGATCATGTCACTGGTGGATTTATAGCTACTCCAGTGGTCTAATTACCCTGGCAGTTGTCTCCTGTGCCCAACACTGTTGTCTCATTGCGTTGGCATCTTAGCTTCATCTTCTCATTACCTTCTCTCTTAACTAAAGCTCAGATTTACAATTTTTTTTTTAACCTAACCCACTTAACCCTCTCTGTTCACCACCCCCTTATTTTTGATTGGCAGTATCATCCAGATAAACAAAGTGCAGATGTGCCAGCAGGAACAGTGGAGGAATGTATACGAAAGTTCATCGAAATTGATCAGGCATGGAAAATTCTAGGGAATGAAGAGACAAAAAAAGAGTATGACCTGCAGCGGCATGGTAGGTACTCAACATTGGCACCTCTCTGAAGCACCGTCCACAGCCATTCCCGGGGAGCATTTTCCAGCATTTGCACAAACTTATTATTGCCTTTTTTACTCCTCCTGCCCCAGATCATTGTTTTTAATTATGCTCTATTCTTAGTAGTGATTGTTATGTATCCATTGAGAAATTCACAAAACTACTAGGATGTGGCTTCTTGTGAAGCGGTGGAAGTGATTTTTTTATTAACTAAAGAAAAATATTTCATCACATTCCTAATTAACATGTTTTATATGTTTAAAAACTTTACAATGTAATTATGTGCTGATTAAAATTTTTAATTGTAGTACTTTTAAGACTTTATACTGTATAAATGACAGTCTGAAAGAAGATACTATATAGCATAACATCATAAAGCACTCTGCTGTCTCTGTGCCTGTTTTAGGCTAGGCTTCATGGTTATCTCTTGAATAAAATATTCCTTATAAGATGGCTGGCTATACATGGTATTTTAGGAATGAACATTTCCCAAGCAGTTTTAAAAGTCATTTCTTTTATGCATTTTAAAAAATAGCTTCTTAAAACAGTGACTAGCTCTTGTGAGAAAGAAAGGGAGAAATGTAGGTCAGGTTTGTCACACATGGACTGCGATTACACAAAGTGATAGGCTGTCTTTCAGCACTGGCCTTGGGATAGGAGTCCCTCAGCCTTCTCTTTGAACCTTCGATATGCACCCTACATGCTAATGGGGGGAGTCGATAATCAGTTACAGCCCATGGGGAAAACACACAGTTGCACTCTGCAGCCGTGCACCAGACTCAGCATCGACTCCTGTACGTCGGTAAAAGCTCACTGTCTCTGTGGTTGATTACCGAGTCCCCTCCCATACCCTACGTTGGCACACCGTCAAACCTAACAAAATGATTTTTAAGACTCTTACTACTACTAAAATTATGAAAATTTGAGAATCAAGGCTTTATTTATAAAACACAGCATTATAGGATAAAGCCAGTGATGTATACAAATACCCATATTTATTTTCAGAGAGAGTCGTACCAATAAAATTAAGTATTTCTTGCAGGCAGTGTGTAATACCTTTGTGTGTAAAGACTTCACGAGTTATTTGTTTATGTACTGGAGTATTTCTCTTTCACAGCGACTTTCATAATACTGGTCAGCTCTAAGGCCCTTCTGCTTTAAGACTGATAAGTTTATATTTTTTAAATCTTAAGAAGTTGATGAGTGTGTTTTTGCAGTAAATTTAGATTAATTTTCAAATATGGCTTGAATATTTTGTCCTCCTATTTGGTGCATACATGAGCATCTTTCAAATGTTGTAGTTCTTTTGTAAATGTTTTTATACTTCTAGCAAAAGAATGTAGAGATGGTTCCATTTGAAGATGAATTCTATCCATAGATATATCATTTTATCCTTTGTTCACATGATATAATTTCTGTGAAAGTACTGAAACTGTTACACACAAATGTGTTATGTGCAAGAAGCTATCTGTGTCCCTAAAGCGACCAAGCTGTACTGGAGATGATGATTTTCCGATGGTGCTTTTGCACATCTTTACCAGTCTTTACTCTGTGGGGTTCCGATTTGCTTAAGATAAGCATAATCCACAAAACCTTAAGGAATATACAGTATGTTCTTGCAATATTGCTCTGCATTTTTGCCACTCCACAGCCTATGTCCTATTAAGAACCTGTCATTGAAACTGACTGGAAGCCTACTGTCTAAAGAGCAAAGAGGTAGGGAGAGATCAGGAATCAAAAAATATTGCTATGGTATAGGGTAGGATAGACCAGAAATGGAGAAAAATAAGAAACAGGGTTTAAAATGAGCAATAGAATTACATGAAAGGAGGTTTAAAGAGATGTTGGAAGAAAAAATAACATCTTCAAGCTATTCTCATTACCTTTGAGAAGTCCTTGGAAATGTGGGTTTCTTTTGAGTTTTGAGTCTTTGGTTTTAAGGTTTTAATGGAAGCAGCTTTGGCCTCCTGTATCTCAGGGGACTCTTGTAGGTCGTTGACAAGGTCACAGTAAAGTTTAGGCAAACCAAATACAGTGGGAATTGAGCCTGACTCATGATTCAGATAAATAGGCAGATCTTGTGCTTGGAATTTATATTGGAATTTATATAATGTCAGCTTGCAAGTTTTTCAGGCAGGTGATTGCTGAATTGAGCTATTCTAGAAGAATAGTAGAAATACAACTTTTCATTACATTTTAGTACCTCAGATCTAAGTACTAAATATTTTCACCACCAAAGGCTCCAAATAGAATGCTTTGTTTCAGTTTTAAATTGAGATTGGGTTGTTGTTTAGGTAAGAAATAGTGGTTTCTTATCCAAATATAACTTGCTCTTTTTAAGTTTCATACTAGAATTTTAAAAATCTAATAATAAACCTAGTTTCCTATCGTCATTTCTTTTGAATATTGATATTAATTTTTCCTTCTTGACCCATCTTCAGTAAATTGCTTCTGAAAAGAAGGAAATGAACTTGAACTTCTAGCAGTAAGGATTTAGATTTGATAGAAGGAAAACCTTTGAGAATGATAATTTGTTAAAGACCAGGATAGGTTACCGAGAGAGAGTATGTTTGTTATAACCAGGTCAAAGCACTCTTTTTTTCTGGGTCACCCCCTGGGGACATGGAAATAGCTTTGTCACACAGAACTCTTTTTGCATGTGGTGATAGTTCATTGTAGAATTTTCTTTTCATAGGGTGTGCTTTAAATATTTGTTTCCTGCCCTCCATTAACTTGGTTTATAAAATAATTTGAACTATGTAATAGTGAGGAAGGAGGCAGGAGATGTTTTATTGGCTGATGTTGAATGCTTTCTCATATTTCACAGCTCAAAGTTGGTGCTCTGTTGTAAAGAAGGCTTCATCAATACCACCCACAATCATTTATTTCTCTAAAAGATCATTTAAAGGAGCCCTTGACATCCATATTATCAGATGAGTTCTAATAAAGAAATAGTCCAGGGTAGACAACCTAAAGTAAAGTACATATGTTTTTTTCTACCTCATTTCTACTTCTATATTCTTAGTTGACATTTTTGGGTACTGTCGACCAGGCTGAAGAAAAGCAAATCTAAAAAAAAGGATGAGTAATATTCAGTTCCCAGATATTATACAATTTGAAAGCATTGTTAACTAGTGAATTTAATCAATTCGTTCCAGTTGGTAGATTTACCTTATTGTTTCTAAGGATGCTTGTAAAGGCCAATTTCCATGTCCCCTTGAAAGGCATGTAGTTATTTAAGATTAGGCTTTGCATTTAGACAACTATATGAGCACTTTTGGAAAATCTTTTCAGAGTTTATAAAATGTTCACATGAACAATATCTGTAGACTAGATTTTGGTGCCTTTATAAATCTTAAGGAGTTTTCTCATATATTAAGCACATTACAAAACACATCAGAAGTATATCATGGGAAAATAATAGGGATCATGATTCAGTAGCATTGTAATATGACAGTTACACAGATCTCTGATGTCTTGGTAGCTCTATAAAATGACACAGCTTATGAGTTGGGTTACTTCTCTGTAAACTGAAGAAGAACCAACCTTCAGATGAAATAATATTTATTTAAACCTTCATCAAATTAAATAATATTTTTAAAAAATGAATGTGTTTAGAATCCTTTGTGGTATATTATTTTACATTAAGATGTATCTTGGTTCTCTATTAGTGAATTATTTTGGTAATGTGGAGCCTTTACTCTATATAATTGGCCAAGTACTTGGATACCAAAAACATCCTGGCTCAGAAGGGGATTGGGCCAGACATTTTAAAGTTAGTATGTCTTTATTCAGAGCTAATCAGTTACTCCCCCTTAGCTAGATACAAAAGGTCATTTCTGGTGTTGTAAATAATACTTTTAAATGTAGATAATATGACTTTGGGTTAACTATTAGGAATAACGGCTTAAGGCAGTTGATATTTGTGCAAATTATGTGCTAAAATTGACCCTTACAAAACACTTGTAGTACTCAGGTTAAGGTATCCATTTATGGTAATATCAGTATTGCCATTTGATTTTAGGAATTTGAAAATTGACTATAAAAATGTGCTTCAGGTAAAACTTGAAGATAAGCATCAGGGGAATGTTTGGTTTTTTTTTTTTGTTTTTTTTTTTGGTGACTATTTCTGGGAAAAGTAAGTATGTGAAATGATGCAGAAAATCCATCTAGACAGTTAGAGATTGGCATTTTCTTCAGAGGGACTGGCATCCAGACAGTTAGGGATTGGCATTTTCTGTGAGGGTCCTCCTGTTCCATTTTATTTGTAACAAGAAGGTGACTACTCACATTGTTAATTTTACTTAAGCTGACAAGGTCCTTGCAATCTGTGAAGTCAACCAAGGGTTGCCTCACCTAAAATGAATGAATGAATGAATGAATGAATGTTTTTGCAATAAAAATGTATTTTAAGATCATTTCTCCATTTCTCCATGATTTTGAATAAAAATTTGGTTAGTTTCAAATAATGTTATAGAAACCTGTGGGCAGGATTATAGGTATAATTCTGGTATACTTGGACCTAATTGGGGATTCTGATTTAATAATAGAGAAAATGTAGGATTTCAGGAAGTTTGTATCACCAACTTTAACCTCTCTCCCAATTTCTGCTTGGGTACTTGATCCAGTTGAAATCAGTGAGTCTAAAACCAGATGGGGTCACCTTTTTCATTGCTTGTTTCTTCCCAGACTTGAAACCAGTTCATATTATACTCTGATTACTTCTGCTGCTCAGTATACAACTAGTGAATTAGAAACGAGTGTCGACATTTAAAAAAAATTTTTTCTATGTAATTTTCTCACAGCTACCATAGTTCTAATTGGCCTTCTACCACAGGTTTTTACATTTTGATTGGTCTCGCTTTCTTTATTCTTCTCAAAGAACTTCTATAACCACCTCCTCCCCTACACAACATTTACCCATTCATCTAGAATTTAAATAGGCAGAAGATTTTAAGTTTGCTTCTAACTACTTTTTCTAACCTTATCACCAGTCACAAACCTAATGAGAATCTTCTCCCCAGTCTATTTAGGAGCTCCCAAACACATCTGCTTATGCATTACTCAGAACACCCTCCCATTCTGATTCTTCACAGCTTATTCTTTATTCAAGTTCCAACTCAAATCCTCCTGTCTCCTTTCCCACCCTGCCAAAAAAAAAAAAACTTCCCTGACATTCTAATCCACCATCATTTCTAACCTCTGAATTTAATCCACGAAGTATTTTGATTTTATCTTCTGTGGTTCCCATCTTTTAGTTCTGTTTGGTACTTCTGAAGGAATGAAAAATTAAATGGATATGGCTTTGATAATAATGGGTCAGTTTTAATGGGACCGACAATAGCAAAATATTCTAAATTTCTAAACACTGTTACAAATCCAGACAAAGTCAAGAGCTGCTGCCTTCCTACACTATGGTCCTTGAGGCTTCTCCTGTCACCTCTCCAATAATGATTGGTATTTAGTCAATTTTCTATGGTCTGATATAGATAGGTCAACACAAACATTATAAAATAATAACAGTTAAATTAGCTGCCATTTGTTGAGCACTGGCACTATGGTAATTGTCTTTTAATCATTGTTTAACAACCTTGTTAGGAAGAAATTAATATCTATTTTCCAGAGAAAGAGTATGAGGCTGGAGGGTGGTAGGGGGATAATTAACTAATTTGACTAAGGTCGCATAGCTAATAATTGATAGAGAGGGAATTCAGAGCCATTCTGTGAGTCTTAATCACTGCCAGGCTGCCAAGTTTTAAAGAGGTGTATACAGCCTACTATTTTTTGGTCCAAATAGTCAAGAATGAGGCATATTTGAGAGTCAGAACAAGAAGCCAGACCTACATCTGCTGCTGTTCTACCTGTTCTGTAGTGAAATGTGAAATTCAATTTTTGGGTTTCATTTGGTACCTCTCATGAGCACTAGTTTATAAAAGCTCTGCAGCTCTTCAAGTCCATAATTAAACTCCAGATTTGTGATTTTTCTTCTATATTGAAAGACTTACAATTTTGACTATCTGAGAAAGGATTATAGAACTTTACGATTTAATGAGCATGTTTTAAGTTAAATGTTAGCTGATTCTCAATCCCTTATCAAGGTAGAGACTGTTCCAAGAACAGAGACTGTTATGGACAAGGAAACGATATCCTTCAAGTTATTTCCTATACGAAAATTTTAATTATATATAGTGAACTGATTTTTTAAGAATGAGGTGATTGTTTAGAATTAAATTATTTGATTTTAAAACAGCAAGATACTAAGACCTAAGGGAAAACAATACTGTTTGCTTTTAGCACACAGAGATGACTTTAAATTTAAAATAAACTTTAAATATTTTAAATGGCATAAAGCTAAATACAGTGGACTAATTGCTAAATGAGAGCATTCTGGGGACTTGATCACTAGAGTAACACGATATTGCTATACATGAACAGTAGGGACAGAGCTGCTGATGGACTCAATCTTTTGGCCAATATTGGGTTGATTGAGACATTTAGATACCGCAGCCATAATGAATAAAGTTGAATTCCTCTCGTTTGTGCCTTTTTATTGCTGTTATTTATTTTTATTTATTTATTTGAATTGTAGCTACAGTTGGAAAAACTTTCCTGGTATTAGGAAGTATAATTATTTAGGCAGCAAAGAGTTATTTTAGAAATTTTAGTATCCTCCTTAGGAGGAAGTTTTAAAAGACTGGAATTCTATTGTCTTGTAAGAAGTAAGAAATATTTATTGATTCCCAAATGGACCTGAAAAAAACCTTTCCTCTTTTAGAAAGTTGTGAATGACCCAGCGAGAGCTCTGGTAAGCTTTACTGAACCAAGCTGCTAATAGTTATTTAATGTTATTCTTCAGTGTGAAAGAATCTCCATAGATTTTCCTTTTAATCTCTTTGAATTGCAGGCTCATAAACCTCTCTGATGAGTCCTGCCAGTGTTTTCTTAGATCCCACCGTTGAGACAATGGAGCCACAGAATTCTTTCACCTCTTGTTGTCAGACAAATCCAATAGAATATAAGGTCAGAAGGGCCTATACTTCTAAAGGTTTAAAGATTCTTTTTCAAGTAAGCACATATTATTTGATTTTATCATTATATTCCTCAGGAATCCCTCTTTAACTATAGTGCATTGCTTTCTATCTGTAAGTAAATTTGGAAGTTTTTCTTGTCTCCATATTTAAGCTTGTGAGCACAGTACAGGGTGTGAACAGACCTTAATGTTCTTAGATACCTTAGAAAAAGCTGAGTCCATTCACTTCAAAAGAATTAGGAACATGTAGTGTCATTGGTCTCAAGATAGAGCACACCAAATGCCAGGCAGTACATTTTCTTTCCAGTGCTGTTGTTTTTTTTTAATTACCATTCTGTAGCTAAGATTACAGATTTAAATATTGGATCTGTTCCTTTAATTAAATCGCTTTCTAAGTCAGTTTGTTTCATCAACATTTTTAGTTGTGTCATGTTAACAGGAGAACTTTGAGATAAGATTTATCTTTTCAGATACTTATTAAAATATTTCATTGTAATGAGCAAAAATATTTATAATATGTAATACTCAAAAGAAAATGAAGTTATCTGTTTTGCAGATGCCATGCCTGATAGACAATTATCAAAGCTAATTACAGGGTTCCTGTGAGTTATTTTAAGGGCTAGGAATGAATTAAGTTTTCTAATTATAACTGCAGTGGTGGACAAGCAGAGATCATTGTTTAAAAAGAAAAAAAAAAAAAACATTGATTTGTTTGTGCTCCTTCCTTGTATTCGTAGTGTGGGGGGTTGCTGTTGCCCCATTCCCTGGACACCTGTTTCTCAACAAAGGATCCCTACCCCCTGCATTTAGATTCACCTTTTACTTGTATGTACCCCCTCTGCTCATTATACAGTTCTCCAGGGATCCAATTTTCCCGAGTTAATCACCCCAGCCTTTTTCAGAAGCTGTTAGATTACCGTCCTTTCAAAGACTACAGACTTTCCTATGAGGCTCTTAACTTTTCCCGTAACTTTTTGTATTTCTCTTAAAAAATGTAGCCACTGGAGTCTCAACATTACCTTTAAAACTTTTTATTGAAGTTTATCACAAACACAGAGCGGTGCATCAATCCTAGGTATATGGCCTTATGGATATTCATAGTAAACACACCCATCTCACTAGCACCCCAGAGTCCCCTGTGACCCCATCCAGTTACTACTCGCTCCCCCATGCTCAACAGCACGGGGTAGTTCTTCCTGTTACATTTCACATAATGGAGAATCATACAGTATGTCCTCTTTTGTGTCAAATACTGACTTTTAAAACCAGAATCCCCACAGAAACTTGGACTCTGTGCACACAGTGTTGAATAATCAGGTCAATATATAGATGTTTAGACAGCCACAGAACATGATCATATTTTAATATACTTTTAGCTCTGACCTTGGGCAAATTACTAACCATTTTTGTGTTTTCCCTTTTACCATGAGATAAGGTCTAAGCTGATCTTTCAACTAAGAAATAGGTAGCTACTCTAAAGTTCCTGTACATAAAGAAGAAAAAAATAGTAAAAATGTAAAAGCTATTTTTCTGAGTAGGTGGAATAATATATTAGAAAGGGTTCCACATGAAATAGTAACTGGGTGAGAATAATAATAGCTTCCTAGTAGAGAAGCAGAACAATACAAAGCTGACTTGCTAGGCAGTTATACTTACCAGTTATTTCTCATTTATTATTTTTAAAATGACATAATGGACAAACATGAATGGGTTAATTCTTTTTGTACGATTAATGTACTACAGGTGTCCAAGATAGGGCAGATTAAGAAGGTTTATTTATTTTGTCATTAATTCTGCCATTTCTGATTTGCTTTAAATTGATTTCAAAAGTACAAGATAATCTTTAAGATATTCTGGAACATAGGCAACTTGATTGTAAATTATTTATAACTGTTTTTTTCTCTAATCAGGATCTGTTAAGTGCCAATTACCCCCATTCTTCAAGTCTAAAATGGTGTTTCATTTCTCCATTCAAGAAAGCTACCCTGGTCCTTCGTGAAATTTTTTTTTTCATCCATGAGACTGCTATGTAGATTTTTTAGAAAATTAGGAATAATAACCTATACCCAAGTATACTTTATATAGAATGTGGAAATTTGTTTTGTTCAGAAATTACTTAGCATAAGCATACTGATACACTCTGTATAAGCTTTTCAGTAAGCACAGAGATGGAGGCAATAACCCTGACCACCGGGCAAAGTCTGTATCTTTGGAGTTTAGGACAGTTTAATAGACTGTTGGTACCTGGTAAATATGAAGTGATACAATATTTGACATTCCTTAATAGGAAACCATGGCGAGTTCAAAATATTGTATAATCTTTTCATCTATTTTAAAATTGTATAACTCACCAATAAATTTTGAACAGGCAGTTATTAAATATAATTAAGTTGCAGGCATTCACACAACGGAACAAAGGGAAGCATTCTCAGCAAGTGAACAAGAGACTAGTGAGACAGGTAAAGAAAATTTCATTGGTGGGGGAGGTGGATTTTAGTAGTTGCTTTTAAGCATTAACTTTTAGAAGAACGATACAAGCCTACAGGAAGTATATCATGCCTTTAAAAACAAAGACTAGTGCTTCTCATTTATAGTTGCTTTCTTTGTCCCAAAATGCACTTATTTTTAGCAAGAGTGCATGCTTATGCTACTCTTACTTTTAGTTGGAATTCCAGGCTTCTTTGGACCT